AGGTTTTCTTTAAGACCGCTTGTTTGATTGGGTCAATTGCAATCTGGTTGCCAACTACTGCTAGACCATTTAACAGAACAGTTCATGGGTTTTTTGGCTGTCTGGTCTGGTTTTAATAGCTAAGATTTAGAGTATGCTTAGTTGAGCTTAAAAAATTTATTTAAGTTTTAAAATGAACAATTATATTAAGTGTTCAAAGTTTAAAATAAGTTATTTTGATAGTATAAGCGTTAATTTCAAAAAATAACTTTTCTTACTTGAAAGGGAGGAAAACGTATATTAAGTATGGTTACAAGAAGTTACTTAAAATAACTCCAATTTTTCTAAAGCTTAGGCAAGCATGCTCTTACTCCTGAAGCAATGGAATTATCTGAGGTTTAATGTATTTTAGTTGTACAATGATGTATGCTTTTCATAATTCCTCAAATAACTTGTATTACATTCTGGATTTATAAGGCCAACGTGCATAAATGCTTTTCAACTCTTTTACAGACATTTCTTGACCAGAGTGGATGACCTTGCTTCGAAAAAACTTGAAGAAAGTTAGTATCCTTCATTAGTCAATTTTGATTCAATTTTAAGCTCTGGTTAGAGCATGTGTTTACCACTTTTGGTTCCCTGAATGCATGAATCCTATGAGAACTTCTGTTTCTTCCTATTAGTACTTAAGCACACATCAGGGAAAAAAAAATTGCATCTCAAAACACAGACTTTGACATCTGATGCACACAGATGCTGCGTTAATGGCTGAGTATGTGGCATTTAATATGACATTGACAATCAGTTTCTATAATCTGGGATACGAGCTTTTTAATAAAAATGCATTCAGTTTGTGTCTCTCCCCTACCTCAGGTGCATCTCATGCAAAGTTAATTGCTCAAAAAGGAAAAGGAATGCCGCGAATGTCTGTTTCCCTTGCTAAACTTTTGGCTGTTGTTGCTAGTCAAGCTATGGCCAGTCTTTCCATGGAGCTGTACAAAGAGTATAAGAATGTTCACAAATCACTTGTAAAAGGTAATTTATTTTTCAAAATTTTAATACGTGTTCCTTTCTTGTTTCAAGCTAGTTAGTAGATGATATTCAGGCAATGCTTTCCATTCAATCCTTAACTATTCAATCATAGGTATCTAATATAGAAGCAATACAAAAGGTTGTGAATCCATCTCATAGTGATTGGTCGGCCCATTTGTGATGTCCTAGGTCTTGTCCAACTTAAGTCTCTCATTAGGCAGAGGTTTTGGGTTTGAAACTTGGGAGACGGGAAACAAAGCTGTGATGGAGTAAGAGGGCAGATGCCCTCTCAAAGTGGATAGTACCTAATATATAATGGTTTGGATATGAGACCTAGGCTGTTACACCCATTAGCGTTAATTGCTTTAAAGATGAAAGACTCAATAAATGCTTTGAACTTTGAAGGGAATCTGGATTTGTCAGGTCTATTGATAGAAATTAATCATTTTTTCCTTGTCTACACTTGTATTCTACCCTGCAGGAAAAGAAGAATAAATAAGTTAATAAATCAAGCAAGACATAAGCTCTTCTATGTTATTTGATTGGACAAAATGATAAGAGCAGAAAACATCTCAAAGTTAAAAAAATAGACACGGGAGTGCTCAAATGGGGGAAATGAAAAACCTTAGAATCGCGACTCATTTATTTGTAGTTATTATGCTACCATTTAACATGTTTAGTTCAATAGGGATGAAGTTTCAGATAAGGTTTCTAATACCAACATATACTTATCCGAGATTTTGCTCACCTGATTTCCAGCAAAGATTCCTTACTGCTATCTGTCATATTCATTGCTCCTGGAAATTGTGGAGTAAAAGTAATTGAGACTGAAATACAAAGAGGAATAGAAAATTTGTATAAATCTCTCTTTTCATTACAAAGTGAAAGACCTTATTTATAGGATTACAAATAACCAAAATAGGAAAGTAAAAGCCACCACCTATAATCTTCAATTCATTGTGTTTATATCGTTTACAAATAACCAAAATAGGATTTAAACCAAAATAGAATTTCACTGGATTACTCAAATCAGCTTTTGACATATATCGTGGGATTACTCGTCTTCAAACTATATACCACTTTTGCTTCTGCACATTTCATAAATAGTATGGATCTGCTAGATTATTTATTGGCTGCATATCATTATAATTTTTGACATATTGTGTGTCATCTAATATTTTCTCCCTTCTTGTGCCATGAACTGCAAGTGTAGCTTTTTTCATTCCCCTGTTTCTCATAACTATTTTTTCTCTGTCTGTTATTGTATCTTCAGAGCAAGAGCGTTCTTTTAACTTGACCGTAGTTGTAGCTGCTGAACGGGTATTCCCTCTTGCCCTTGATATCATATTCTTTCTATAAATTGATTCTTTTATCTTAACTTCTGTGTTGATCTATCTTTATCTGTTGTTCGCTGATAATCTGATGCTCAATTTGTTGCATTAAGATGTTAAGGAGAATGTGTTTTACCTATGATATTGGATGTTTAGTTGAAAGTGAATGTAAGTAATTTCTTTGCGTTCACATGAGGTTGCCTAATATAGTCACTAGGTTAAAACCTCATTTGGTGCATGGGAATAAAATTTGAAACGCTTCTACATCATCTTGTAACAATGAACTGATTATTGTTATCCCACAAATTGGTTAGAACTTGGGTGTGGTGTTGGGAGATTCTTGCGATAAGCAGTAATTAAAAAGTTGGTGCCTAATTTCTTACCATATTTTGTCGTTCGTTTATTAATGTGAAATTGCTATTTCTCTAAGCCTTTGTTCGATCCTCATTATCTAAAAACTTAATTTTTCCCAAACTCATATTCAACCACATATTTTCACAATAAAAAATTTCGTGCAAACCCCAAATTTTTTCCTACTTTTTTAACCCCACGTTCTCCAATTCACTATTACAAAACTCATTTTCAACCCCCCCCCCCCCCCCCCCCCCCCCCAAAAAAAAAAAAAAAAAAAAAAGAAAAAGGAGAAAAAAAAGGACTAAAAAATTGGCTAAATATTTTTTTGTTATTAAATTCTTCTTAGCTGTTTAAATGGATATTGTTTAGATACAACATAGAGCGGTATTTTTGAATGTTTGGGTTTCTCAATCTGATATCTGAAAGCAGCACCTGTAGGTCAATTAAGTGGTTCACACTCCTCCATTTACTCTTGGAAACATTCTATATTAGCTAATGATATATTACCTCCTTTAATTCCATCCTAAGTAATGAAATAAAATTTAGCCTCTGTTTGATGGCCACTATTTTGTAAAAATGATGGAAAAAATCTGAGTTTATGTTCAGAATATTTTATTTTGTGAATGTGTGGTTGAAAATGAGTATGAGAAGTAAATTGTTTTGTTTTAAAGAGAGTCAAACAGGGCTTAAACTCACAAGTAGATTATCAAGGAAATGAAAAAATGATACTAATAGTTAAAGGCAAATGCTATCGCCTTTTTCTCTCACATTTATGATCACCAGTTTACTTTTCTGTAAGCTCTTTTGTCCATTTTGTTTGTCAGGAAAAGAATGACAGTCTCCAGAATATGCTTTCAAGAAAGAACAAGTCCCAAAAGATGGACACAGAAAACTCTGATTCTAAATCTGCTTCGAGCCCACAAGATGCTTCAGGTATCCTTTAGTTAACGAAGAGCACGATCACTTCTATATGGAGTCTGGCTTCTTCTTCAAGCCTAAATACATCTCCAATACCATCTAGATTTAAATAACTTCATAATATTAATGTTTAACCTCAAAAATGCATCAGATATTCTGAAGCCATGAGTATTGTGTTTGCCTATTTCATAATCTACAAGTCTGTATTGACTGAAAATGCTCCCTCCATATGTATCACCTCTCACTTCTCATGTTCATTTCATTTTAAGTATCTTTTGTGCTTTCTAGTTTTGTTGGACTGAAATTACAAAATTCCGTTTTTATTTGCAGACAAGCAAATTACTCAAAACCAAAACTCAACAAAAGCCCCTAATCGTGTCGTACCAGCACACCGCAGGTTAATAGCGTATCCAATTTGTTTTTGTCTACCGTAGGAACTTCATTTGATGACATGTATCTTGTCTGGCAGGGCAAAAGTGAGAGGGGCTGTTTTGGTGGACATTGAAGATGATGATTAATAATTTTAGGAAGAATCCAACTCCTTGTTCTTGATGTTCGGTAGAATATGTCCAAAGGCTCATCTTTTATTATGTTCTTTATATGGATACACCATGCAAATGCATAGATAATAGTAAAGTGCAAGGTTTATCGTTCGCAAGCAGTGTGGCTCAATTGAGCATATGACATTCACTGATTTATCTTTCATTTTTAAGGATTATACTAGTTTTGTAGATCATCGTGGTACATTGATTTAGCTCGTTTCTGAACTTAATTGGTAGATGTTCCAATATTGACATCTGGAAGTTTTTGCTGGCTGATTTTGTTTCTTTGTTATAGAATGTGGTAGTTACACAGATTATTGTGATACATTGATAATCTTTTTAGTTTCTGATAATTCCAAGAATTTGTTTGATAGAGATTTATTCAAAATCATCTTCAACTACATGATCAATGAGACACTTCAACTTTTCTCTACATTTTAACTATATATTCTTTTAAAACATCACACCCCACTTGTAAAAATCTCTCTCAATTATAACCCAAATCTGGAAAAATTACTAGTCGAATTATTACTTTCTATACAACGTTTGGTCAGAGATTTTGATTTCGATGTTATAAATTATGTACATGTACCTGTCAACCAATGTATTTTATGAGGGTATTTTGCCAGTATAAACTTTACAAATACAGCATAAATTGAACTCTGGACGCTCTCTCTGGAGAGAAGTTCCCTTCAGGCCAGCAGCTGTTCGTGCGTCTGCATTTATGCTCCTCTCTTTTGCTTCCACTGCTACTCTATTCAGAATAAGCACCTTCCTTGTCCGCTCGGCTTGTATTTCGTACTGTTCAGGGACAACTGTTGAGGCATGATGTTGCTCTCGGCCGTACTGTATGACATGAGAGACGAGTGCTTCAGACACTCAGTGCATGTGTGGAACAAGAAACATCGTACTAGACAATATAGTGGATAATTTTTTTACAGAACTGATCTTCTGCCCATGTCACATACCTGGACAACATGTTTGCTGCCCCACTATGGGTTGGAGATCAGTTTTGAATATTTCTACTTAAAATCATTGTTGAGTGCTAACTAATTTACCTCAACAAACATACTGCGCACATGCAAGAGCATATGTGCAACTGATATAATTACTAACTGATCCAAAATTATTTCTGATTCATTCAATTTAGGGTCTTATTCCTATTTTATCAGCTTCTCTTTTAATATGATATTCTGAAAGCTATAAATCTAATCAATGCTCAATATTGGTTCGTGTTCCTAATTTATCCGATGTTCACTTCGCGATATGAGAACTCATGATGCTTAGAACCAAGGATTAGTAAATTCATACCTGGTTTTGCTGCTAGTTTTGTCACTTGAGCTTCTTCTGATGTTAACACACTTTCTATTTCTATCTTTTATGGATGAAAATATCATCTTCCACCAATCTTTATTAGTGCGTTTCTCAGATCCCTCGGATGATGGTCCTGGAGAAATTTTTGTGCAGTTTCTTGCCTTCAAGTTCTTTTTTGAAAATACAGGGATTGGGAGGGACATCTTTAGAAGGAAAACTCCACTGTCCATGCTCTGAGTCCTGGATATTTGACTTCTCCCTGCAGTTTTACTGTTTCTTGAGTTTCTAGTTTCAGTTTTGTTCGAATTCATCTCTTCTTCTATTGTTCCAGTTTTTTCTTTCTCCTTGCTATGTTTATCTTCTACTATATCTTTCAATGATAGTTCATATGAAGATTCCGGGATGTCCTTAATCATCTCCATGAGCTCCCTTCTCCCGTTGGCAATAGCCCTTAATCGTGAAGTTGGAGACGAACAACTATAATGGTGGTTGGATGGAAGCAAAGGATAAGTTTCATGTTGAAAACTTTTTGATGTCCTTGTCCACAGTGGAGGCGAACAAGCTAGGAAATGATCCTCAGTATCCCCCGAATTGTCGTAATATGGATGATCCTCTGGTGATTTTTCAACCCAAAACTCAAAATCACTAGATCCTCTCATTGGAAATGCTAGTAGCTTTTTCCTGGTAAAATGAAAGGAGATGGTGATTAGTGAGACCACAAGAGTAGGCCTAACGGATACATATATTGTGTGGAAAACACAAGTAAATGACATTTTCAACAAGAAAGTATTCAAAGTTACACTTATTTCCAAGTCTTTGCCGTCTACAATGGGATGGTTAGAATTTGAAAATGTGTTCTAGAAAGGTGTTACCCACACCCCAAGTTGTTCCACTCCATTTATCATATGGAATTTGGTGTGGTTTAATAGCTAGTGGTGTCAAAGTGACCGGTCATGCATCGAGACACCAGACTGACTCGATATTGAGCTTGGCAGATTGCACTATGGCCACAAGTCTTCTTGATTGTCCGTTAGCCATGTAATAAGCATGTCAATTAGGGCTGGACATGGTCAGGTCCAGCCAACCTCGAATTTTCGAATATTTAGTAAGTGGAATCATTGGGTCCAATTTTAATTATAGAACTATTCGGTTTGATTCGGTTCGATTTCATTCGGCTCCTGAGTTTCATACAATAATTTAAATTTTTAATATTTAAAACAACACTACATTAATTTAACTAATGATATGTTCAATTTTAGCTCGTATAAAATAATACACTTCAATCTTATGTATTTGATACATCTCTCTTTATTGAGTTATTAATAGATTTGGTTTTGAAAATCACAGGAAGAGATATATATCGAGTTTACAATAATGAAAAGAGGCATAGCTGAGCTTTCAATTCGATTTTTTTAGAACTATAAAAACGGCACTATGATATAATAATAGATTTGGGTAAAATTTAGGTCATTTGATTAAATTGGGCTTGTGCTGAAAATTAGAAATAGAAAAATCATATATTAGGTCTAGGCTAAATAGTTAGTAAATTTATTTTTTTTTAAAAATAAAATATTTTGACTTATTTAAGATAAATAAATTAAAAAAATTAAGGATATTCGATTCTTGATATAGAATCAAGAACTAAACCAAACCTCTGGATTCTCTATTTAACTACTCGTTTAGCTATTTAATTTAAGAAGAACTGCTCGATTCAGTTCAATTAGGGTCAAGTTCAATTTGGTCGATTAGGTTCGAGAGTTTTGTCCATCCTAATGCCAATACAAAGAAAGTTCATCATCAAGAAAATTAAGGAAGAATAACATATAAAATTAGAATTTCTCTCATATATGTTGAGAATTAGAAACCCTAATTCTACGTTGTCGACAACAATTCAATCGCAGTGAAAAAATAAAGACACAAGAAAATATAAGATTTACAGAGGTTCGTCTCAATGTGATTTTTTTCGTAGTTGCAATAATATCCTATGATAAAAGAAGTTTATAAAAGAAAATCATAAACCATATATTTTCTAACCTCTCTCTTTTTATGGTAATTCGAAAGCATAATGACAGATCTCTATTTATAAGACTAAGTACAGGTATGAAATTCAAGATCAAGAAATGCCCTTAATGAAATTGTGTTAAGCAAATATTGATCCTATGCAACAACGACAATTAGATTACTCCAGTTAACAACATATACGCACTAGTATTCGACAATGTTATTACTTTTTATTCTTCACTCAAATTCATAATCTGGAAGAATGAGTCATGACAAAGACATCAGAGGAGGTAAAATCCTAGAATACAAGGTCCAAATTGATCTATATGAGAGACGACTGTGAAAAATTGAAAAGCCTAACAATTGACATACATGTTGAAAAAGATTGTAATATAGGGACAAAGTGGAAAAAAAGAAATGAAAGTAACGTTTAAATTGACCATTTTAATACTGATATTCGCTTTTGAAATTTTTGCTTCATGTAATCTTTTCTCGAACAAATGCTAAGACTATTTCCAACCATCCCATTCCGAATGAATACAAAGTTGATCAAAAGTCAACGATCGTGCTTGTCTGCACAATTACACATGAAGGGATGGAACGCCAAGATATGGGGGAAAGATTTTCTTGAATTCAAGCCGAAGAGATGGCTCTTTATTCCACAACCAAAATAATCGCTTTGTTTAATATATGCGTGCAAGTCTTTTAGAATAGGCACCTGTTAGGTGTAAATTAAAATTCGATAGAAGTTTTAAGTCAAAATCAATAATTAATTTTAATAACATATTTAATGAAATCACAATCTTTTAATCATACATTTCAAAGTTTTATTACAATATATTTAGAATTTAATTTTGATCTGCACCAAATAGAGGCTAGAACAAACAACCGTTGCATTAACACCTTGATTACAATGCAATCTACAAACTTAAACTTCTGGGTTAAAGTTAAAATTTAATTTCAATCACGCAATTCTAATTGTAACTTCATTTTTTCTTTTACAAATTTATTAATAATTTTATCTGAACAAAAGACTAATTCTCTATACATAGCTATAGGATATAGCCGTTCATAAGCATAGTCGAGTAAAGCCTGAAGTTGAACTTATCATTAATCTTTATCTTAAAATTGGGATAGCGCTATTTTCATTCACGCTTTTTATAAGTACATCCACTTTTAAAAATAAACTTTTACTATATTTTAAATCATATATAAATTTACTTAAATAGACATAAACAGAATTAAATAAAAATACATAACTCTAAATTCATCCACAAATTTTTATTTTCATTAACTTATCCTAAATCTTTTTTTTCTTTTAAAATTTGTATTTAACTAGAATCCTAATAGATTAGGAAAAATTATATGAATATAATTATAGGTTATGGGTGTCCCCAAATTCTAGTGCATGCCAACTTCCCATATCCTAAATCCAATCTCTTATTTTCAGAAAAAATCTCTTAACACGTAATTTCTGTTTGGGGAGTTCTATGCCCATGCTTTCATTTGTTTTATACTGAATTTATAGGCTGCTGCGGCATATTATTCTACAGGAGAATCAAGTTGAAGTTGAATTGTTTTTGTTGAATGTGCAAGGAATGTCTGTCCCACAGTCTATATGCTTCTTTTATCTCAAAAGAAAAAAAAAATTAGATTGAGACATTTTATTTGTTAAGTTGTCGACATCTTCAATTTAATATTCAGGACTATAGTAAATTAATTATTCTCTCATAACCCACTTTGAAATTTGAATCCCACCAATTCTTTAGTAGTGACAGAGGGAGATAGGTCATTGGCTCCACTAAAATGTAATGTATATTCGTTTTATATTTTTATATTATTATATTTTGAGTTCGAAAAAATAACATATTACATTCAAATTTTCGTCATCACAATTTTTGAATTTATCTTTTATTACCGCCCAGCATTCCATGAATGTCTTGTTGAGGCTTGACTTGCATCAAAAAAATTTCGATAATAAAACTAATAATAAAAAAAGAATTTAAATAATAACTCAATTCTTTAATTGAATTAATAACTGAATTGAAAAACTTGGAAATCAAGTAGTCAATATCCCACATTTTTGGTTGCCAAATTAATGTCTGTCACATGCCATAGGAGGGAAGAATTTCAATGGCTATCCATATCCTCCACCGTCACAGGAATTCAGTCAAGAAATGATGGTTATTTTGAAATTAATGTAGAAATAAATTGCACGGAACCAATGTCCCGTTCATTATAAAACTGTGTTGATAATATTTAGTTAATCTTCATTAATGTAGCAAGATCTATGGAATTTCCATGGTTGTTAAAGTTTTGAAATATTAGCCAAAAGATTTCGAATAAGAAGTCTTCAATATCTGCAGCATACAAAGTTGGTAAAATTCAGCTTGCTTAATTGAACTTTCCTCTTTCTTTTTTAGCCTTTGTTGTTCGATGCATTGTAATACTCAGAATTTCAATAGACAAATAATTCAGTGAACGATGAAAAAGACCCCGTTAGAACAAAAATATACAGACATAGTAATATATGAAGAGAATTTTGAAAAAGTAAGGATTACTTTTTTATCGTATTTTGTGGTTTGATTTTTTTTCCTAACGCGTTATAGACATTATTTGAAACTATACTTTTAATGTAGGATATATCAACCCGTAACTATGATGTCCAGAATGAGTTATTTGTTGATTATACAGATATGCTTACGACAAACATGGTACATAATGATTTTTTTTTTTAATATGATCATATATTTATATATGAATATTTGATGATAAACAGATGTTTACAAATAAAGAGGCCTTAATTGATTGGGTTAAAACTACTAGTAAGAGACATAACATGATTGTTGTTATGAAAAAGTCCGACTTCGGCCAAGTTGGGCAAAAACCAAGAATTGATTTTGCATGTGAAAGATATGGTTCGTATAGGTATAGGAATAAGGTGCCCATAGAAAATGAAAAAGGAAAGAGACGTAGAGCTACTGGAACAAAAAAGTGCGAATGCCCATTCGCTTTGAAAGAAAGAAAATTGATAAATGGTGATTATTGGATATTGAAAGTGAAATGTGGGAGATATAATTATGACATTGCCCAGAACCTTGAAGGACATTCATATGCTAGGAAATTAACTGAGAAAGAGACTTCAATTTTAGTAGACATGTCAAAAAATCATGTAACACCAAAGGAAATCTTATACACATTGAAACAAAATGATGACACAAATGTTAGCACATTGAGACACGTCTACAATGCACGTCAAAAGTTTAGGCTCAAAGAACAAGCTGGAAGGACACAAATGCAACAAGTGGCACCACAACTCTATGGAGACAAATGTAATTCAAGATTTATTTTGGGCACATCCATATTCAGTAGATTTGTTGCGGGCTTTTCTTCGTGTAATAATTATGGATTGTACGTATAAGACAAATAGGCATCGCCTACCGTTGTTGGAAATAGTAGGTGTCACTTCTACTTATTTAACATTTTCGATTGCTTTTGCATACTTGGAAACAGAACGTGAGGAAAACTACACATGGGCTTTAAGGAAATTGAAGAGTCTAATGAATGATATAATAATGCCTAGTGTTATTGTTACCGACAGAGAGCTAGCTCTTATGAAGTCTATTGAAAAAATATTCCCAACATCTACTAATATTTCATGTAGATGGCACATTTCAAAGAATGTGTTGGCAAAAACAAAAAAAAGCATTTTGATGATCACAAAGACCAATGGGATGCCTCTATGCATATGTGGAATTTGTTAGTGCTTTCCACATCCATAGAAGAGTACAAGCAAAATCTACATCTCTTAGAATCCAATTTTCGACAGTTTCCACAAGCAATCGATTATGTTATGAATTCATGGCTTCTTCAATATAAAGAGAAGTTTGTAGCATCTTGGATTAATCTGCATATGTACTTTGGAAACACGACAACTAACAAGTAAATTGCTATTGACATTATTAAACTGCTATGTGCATTATTGAATGTGCTAGTGTACAGCAATTCTTGTTTATTTTTCATGGTAGGGCTGAATCTGCACATGCAAAACTTAAAAGGCATTTAGGTTCTTCTCAAGGCAATTTTGACACATCATGGACAAGAATTCATGCATTATTGGAACTACAACATACAGATATTAAATCTTCGTTTGAAAAGAGCTTGGGTACTGTCCAGCATAATTTCAAACTTACCTTGTTCAAATAGCTTAGGGAATTTACATCAAGAATAGCAATGAATTTGATATTTCAAGAGTCTAAGCGAGCTAATGACATAGGAATTGACAAGGTAGCTTGTGGATGTGTTATACGACAAACACGTGGATTACTATGTGCCCATGAGATTTCAGAGTATAAGATAGAATCTCGGCCCATTCCTTTATCAAGAGTACACTCTCAGGGGAAGAAGCTTGATCTAGTTCCTCTTGATGAAGGTAACACATCCGAAATTAATTATGCATCATTATTTGAAATGATTGAGAAGCGTTACTGAGATAATAATGATCATGTGAAAGTAGAAATCCTACAAAAATTGAAAGAGATTGCTAGTCCGAGTTCTACACCATTAGTTGAACCACAAGTCCAAACTAAGACAAAGGGTCGTCCATCTTCAAAGATAGATGTATCTACGCGTCGAGACCCATTGTATTTTGAGTTAGTCCTATCTGGACAAGAAAGTATGTTACAACAATTGACATGTCCGTTACACGGTTAAGGCAACCTACGTTATCAAGCCAGCCTCCAATTCGACAAAAATAAAAGATGTACCGAGCACGTGGATCAAAGTCTGTGGCTTATTTTGATTCATTTCCTATCCATTTGAGACCTTACATAGTTGATGTGCAGGATGTGGCCTCAGATGGCAATTGTGGTTTTCGGGCCGTGGCTAATAGCCTAGGTATAGGTGAAGATAATTGGTCTTCAGTTAGAAAAGATCTAATAAAGGAGCTTGAATCTCATTTTGATGATTACTCTAGACTCTATGGAAATGATGATATGGTCCATGAGTTGATTCATTCATTTTCTCATTTTGATGGTTCAGCAAGTCGTGAGTATTGGATGACCATGCCGGATTTGGGTCATGTTATTGCTTCAAGATATAAAATTATTCTTGTTCACTTGAGTCAACAACAATGTTTTACATTTCTTCCACTTTGGGATGAATCACTTGCAATCAAATCTCATAAGATTGTTGCAATTAGATTTGTCAATGACTGCCATTTTTGTCTCGATAAATATCTATTAGATTAATTAAATTTTTTATTAATTAAATGATATTTTTACTTATGTTTTTCTATGTGATTGTGTACAGGTAAATTGGTATACTAGTGGACCAATGCCACTTATTGCTTGTAATTGGTACAAGTACCATCATCCATGTGCAGAAGGCTGGGCTACACCGTATCATGCTGGAACGCAATTTTTTAGGTCCCTAATAGAAAAACGTGTAGCTATATCAGAAATAATTGATTTGGATAAACTATAAGAACAATTAATGATAACACTACTGCTATTACTATTATTTTTTATCTGATAACACTACTACTATTGTTTGAACAATTACTTGATTTATTCGCTACTATTTAATTACCTAATCATATTATGTTTATCCGCAAAGATTTGGGGCCAAATTTTGGTTCTCATTGATATATTATTTACAAATTATGACTAGTATGTGATGTTTTCCACTTGCTATTAATGTGAAGCATTTTTGTCTAATTAAAAAATTAAGAAATTTAGGCATGTTAAACATTTTTATCTAAACATATATGCGCTGTTTTTCTACTTGCAATTTTGGATTTAAGCATGCCACAAAGAGATGATTGAAGCAAACCAATCATAGTCCAACACGATGAGTTCCAAATGTTACTCAGTATATTTCTCTAGAGACAACCCTCCTCCTAATTTGGACGTTGATTTATGATGATTTGCCTTTGATGAATTGAGTTTTATGAATAAGAATGATAAAATTTCTAATACACATTATTAACACGATTAGCTGAATAATATATGTTCATTTAATGTTCAATAAGTTCAATTTTGTTATTATTTCATTCATGTGGTTAAAAGAGTTTATGGATTTAGGGATTTTGTGTGAATCTATAGTGTTAGTTAGGGATGTATTTAAAATGGGATGAATATATAACATTCAAATGAATGAATTTACTAAGGGTAAAATTGGAAATGATGTGGATGTAAATAGTATTTTTATTAAAATTTTATTAGGGATGAATTTAGAGCGTGTTTGATTGACATGAAAAATATTACCTAGAAAAGAAAATATTTTCTATCTTTTGTGAAAAATAAAAACCACCTCTACCCAAGAAAAATATTTTCCTTAAAAACAAGGAAAATTAGGCATATTTTCAAAAGTTGGAAAATATTTTCTATGGAAAAAAGTAGCAATCAAACACTCCAAATAGAAATTTGGGTGGAAAATTGATATTTTTCATAAAAAATAAATGTAATAGTAGAATGTATTATAAAAAATATGGATGAAAATAACTCTACCTAAAATTGCTTGAAGTATTTGATAAGAAACTTATTTCTCATTCTAGAACTCGAAGATGCTTTTATTTTGAATCTTGATTGCTAATTTAAATAGTTCAAGCGCAGAATTGTTCAGAAATCTTGACTGCTAATTCCTTCTGAATTTATATAATTCTAAACAAAAGTACATCAGCATAAGTTTGTCTTTTGTTCTAAAAATTTTCAATGGCTATTATACTATATCTGGCAAATGCTAAAATTTCAAAATTCTTAAAGCTTTAAACCCAAAAATGTCCATTGCAGTGTATGATCTTTTTGTAATGGAATGGCAAGACATGCATTACTTGGTAACAAACTCTCAGTCCTCAACTCCTCTTCAGCTTCCGCAAAACTCTTGGACGCCTGCATCAAATCAAAGTCATCGCGCGATATCCGTACTGTCCACTCTCAAATTATCAAATCCCAATTCAGTGATGAGATTTTCATCAACAATAGGCTCATTGATGCTTATGGAAAATGTGGGTGCTTTGACTACGCTCGTGAAGTGTTTGATAAAATGCCGAACAGGAACACCTTTACTTATAACTCGATGATCGGGACGTTGACCATATCGGGTTCTGTTAATGAAGCTGAAATGGTTTTTAGTTCAATGCCTCAGCTTGACCAGTGCTCGTGGAATTTAATGGTCTCGGGGTTTGCTCAGCACGAGTTATTTGATAAGTCGGTAGAGTATTTCGTGAAAATGCATGGGGAGGATTTTATGTTGAATGAATACAGTTATGGCAGTGGGCTTAGTGCTTGTGCTGGATTGAGGGACCTGGTAATGGGTACCCAAGTTCATGCTTCAGTGGTTAAGTCGCGATACTCATTGGATGTTTACATGGGGTCTGCACTTATTGATATGTATGCAAAATGTGGGAAAGTAGCATCTGCTCGGAAGGTTTTTGACAGGATGAGTGAGCGTAATGCTGTGTCTTGGAATAGTATGATCACTTGTTATGAACAAAATGGGCCAGCAAGTAAGGCAATTGAGGTTTTCATGAAGATGATGGATTTTGAGGTTGAGCCAGATGAGATGACTCTGGCTAGTGTTGTGAGTGCTTGTGCCACCCTGTGTATGGTCAAAGAAGGCCGGGAAATTCATGCCCGAGTGGTGAAGTTTGATAGGTTCAGGGATGATCTAGTAATATGTAATGCATTGGTGGATATGTATGCAAAGTGCAATAGAATTCACGAAGCTAGGTGGATTTTTGATAGGATGCCAATTCGAAATGTGGTGTCCGAGACCTCCATGGTTAGTGGTTATGCAAAGGTAGCAAGCGTGAAAAATGCGAGAGCCATGTTTACCAAGATGATGGAGAGGAACGTTGTATCTTGGAATGCACTTATTGCAGGCTATACTCAGAATGGGGAAAATGAAGAGGCACTAGGACTCTTCCTTCTTTTGAAAAAGGAATCTGTATGGCCAACTCACTATACCTTTGGGAATCTCCTCAATGCTTGTGCAAATCTTGCAGATTTGAAGCTCGGCAGGCAAGCTCATGCCCATGTTTTGAAGCATGGATTTCGATTCCAGTATGGACCAGAGCCTGATGTCTTTGTTGGTAACTCTCTCATAGATATGTATATGAAATGTGGATCAGTTGAAGACGGAAGCTGGGTGTTCAGAAACATGGTTGAAAGAGATTGGGTTTCGTGGAATGCCATGATAGTTGGACATGCACAAAATGGGCATGGTACTGAAGCACTCCACTTATTTAAGGAAATGTTAGCATCTGGAGAGAAACCAGACCATGTCACTATGATTGGCGTTCTTTGTGCATGTAGTCATGCAGGATTGGTTGAGGAGGGTCGTCAGTATTTTGATTCGATGACCAAAAAGTATGGCCTAATGCCTCTGAAAGATCACTATACATGTATGGTCGATTTACTTGGCCGGGCTGGTTGCCTAAGTGAAGCGAAGAGTCTGATAGAGTCAATGCCAATGCCTCCTGATGGCGTTGTATGGGGATCTTTGCTTGCTGCTTGTAAGGTTCACCACAACATTGTATTGGGGAAATTTGTGGCTGAGAAACTTTTAGAAATTGATCCTGATAATTCTGGTCCCTATGTCCTCCTCTCGAACATGTATGCTGAACTTGGGAGGTGGAGAGACGTTACAAAGGTCCGGAAACTCATGAAACAGCGCGGCGTCAACAAACAGCCTGGTTGTAGTTGGATTGAAATAGGGAGCCAGATGCATGTTTTCTTAGTGAAAGATAAGAGGCATTCACAAAAGAGGGAAATATACTGGCTATTGAAATTGCTAACTAATACGATGAAGCTTTCTGGATATGCTCCAAATTTTGGTTATTTTGATGCTGATGAGGAGCAGAATAAAGCCGAACTTACCATGCTCCAAGAATTGGAAATACCTATAGTTGCTGCTGTCAGATAATCGTCAAATTTGTAGTAGAACTGATTAGAAAGACTTTTCCTTTTAGTGTATTGTTCCATTCTATATTTAAAGTCAAACCAGCGCATACCATCTGCCTTGATATAAGTATTGCTTACTCTGGCTTACAAGAATTATGCTATACGCAGCATTTAGGGTGGACTGGACTCCCTTCTTCCAGGACATGCATTTAGCTATTTTCAGTTTATAGAAACACAATCTTTTCGTATGTTCTAGTTTTGTATCATCTGACTATGCATCATTTTTAGCATCTTTAATTAAGAAAAGTTTCTTTGACATTGGTTAGTGTCCTGTGATTTTTGGGTGTTGAAATTTTTGGCTACGTTAAGTTGCTAGACCATTATGTAAATTCAGCCAGTCTTTAATGCAGAAACTCTTTGCTTTCTTGAATAATTTACTGACCATCGATAACTGATTTGCGTTACTCTTTGTAGTTAGTCATGCTTCAGTCATACTGAGCTTTCAATTCCAGTCTTGCTGATCCCCCATTTTCCCCTAAATTAGTCTCTCCCCGTCTTCATTATAATTTATATGGGCAGTTTCGGAATGGGGAAAGCAACGGCCGAGTTTGGGGAGGAAGATCGATTTTCTTTTTTCTGCTTTTTTTTGATGAAAAAAAAATGTATTCAAATGTTGTTATATTTAATGTTCTCAAGAAAAATTATGGCCCAGAAGATAAATATGACTAATCCTGGCTTTCTCTGTCAATATCTCTCATTCTTTATACATAATCCTTGCATATGTATCTGTGCGCGTGGTGCAATGTGTACGGAAATAGACAAGGTGTTAAGAATAACGGAAGTGTCCGTGAAATTATTTTGGCACTTGCACAGACTCAGCATGTGAAAAAAATCTTGCATCACATTCACGGACTTGCAAGTTGCAATTGGATATAGAATTTTATTGACATGTGAATGTGCTTGCCACGTATTGTTAGCTGGAATGGAAGAATTTATGTGACTGATATTCAATTTTTATAATTTAAAATTTTCCCGGCGTTGAATTTTTAAATTCGTTTAAGATTTAGAAATTGAAATCCAAATCATTAAAAGCTAGCTTGAACTGGCTGGTTTTAGCACCGGATAATGTAGCTTGAGAACCTTACAAAGTAACCATATTTTTGCTTGGGTGTGCGTACACTTCGATCAGATCCGATATGAGGTCCCTCTAGTGGAGCTCCCTCCCATAGACTCGAGCACTTTTCCTCGACTAGTCCTAAGCACACCTAATCAAAATATATGATGACCAGAAGTATAACCTAATCAGGGATGCACCATCATGAGTTACATTGATTTATTTCTTGCGTTTCATTATACTTAGAATTGATCTCCTACCCCCGTGAGAAGGATAAAAACTTCATATTGCTGACCAGACAAAATAATCTTAGTTATAATTCTCTGAATTTATAATAGTTTCAAAGGACCATCACTAAGGTTCTTTTACTATGTCATCGATGAGAAGTTTTTATCCTGTCCCCTTGAGGTAGGTGATTAGAACTGTCATTATACTACTCGTCTTTGATTTAAAAAATGTTACCACATTTCCAATATCTTTTGAGAATAAATTAGTAAATACCATACATGCATGTAGTTTGAACAAAAAGAATTTCTTTCACATAAAATTCTTTTACTCAATAATAATTTGACTTTCATCCATACGTTTTATGTAACCCTGATCCAATAACAAGAACAATTAGGCAATTCCATTAACACACTATTCTGAATTGCCCAAGAAAAAAGGGGAAAGGAATGAATAGAACTCACTTAAAACCAATTCGTGAGAAGCATTGTTAAACCGAACTTGGCGATGTGCGACTCAATATACCGGAGCGTTATCGTTGGCGTTCAAATGAGGATCCCTTTGATTCCTCTATGCGAGCATCTACACCTGAGAATGAGATAAGAAACAAACCTGTAAACCAAAATGAAGCAAGCCATTATCACATAATTCCTCCACCAACTTTTCTCATCCCCATAGCCTTCTTCTTTGAGCACATCTTCACCGCTCACTACACAAGTTCCAAACATGTAATCCAAACACTTTTTCGAATCCGAGAACTCATTTATCAACAACCCTTCAAATGGATACTTGAACAAGGAAATATAATGCATAAAAATCCAGTAATTTGGGATTCCATGTTTCGATACGAAGTACCCAGAAAACAGAAAGAATGATCCCATGACTGCTGATATTACTGAATTCCCCACAATGAAATTTGGCACCAATGCACTGAAGCATACTACTACTGAATTTGCTGTGTAGAGAATCAACCAAATTAGCAGCAAGAAATGGGTGAAAGCTGTGAAACTGTGATTTAATCCCACTAGCCAATATACCGGTACTGAGAATAATATTGCGAGAATAAGCAGAAATGGCAAGTACACAAGACCATTAGCAATGGCGTATGACGATACTCTGTAGCTGCCGTGGGAGGTTTCTTTCATAAGTATTTCTCTCTCTTGCAAGAAAATTGGCAGGGCTTCTGTGGTGCTGGAGAGCAAAAATGTCAAAATGAATGCAAACAGGCCCACTCTTTCTTCTGCACCAACTAAATTGTCTTTTAGATTGTAAAATATTGAGCCCAGAATAATCCCAGATACCAGCATTTGAATTGTCCTGCACGCAAACAGTTCTTTGCTTCTGTAAATGTTTTTCCAGAATCTTTGCATCAGAATTATCGTTTCACACAATCTGGAATTGGTGAAACCAGTTCGAAAATCGATTTCAGCATCAACGGATTCTTCGTCCATAACCTTGGATTGTTGAAAGAGCTGTTGCAGAGTACATCTCCCAGTTCTGCTTTCACCTTCAATTGTCTTGTTTGGTGGAATTGATGGCAATCGGGACCGTGTTTGATTCTGCACATTATCTGTTTGTTTAATCGCTTCAATGGATTCTATGGCGAATTCGACAACGTTTACATGTGTAGGAAGGACTAACCCCATCAGCCCCAAGTTGACAGACAGTAGATCCACCGAGCCCTGGTGCAGAACAGAGCCATTAGCCAACAAGAGAATCGAATTGAACAGTTTCACAATTCTGAATCCTGGCTGGTGGATGCTAAGAATTATTGTCAGGCCCCAGGTTTCGGCCATGGCCTTAAGCATGTCGATGATCTGAAGAGCTGAAATGCTATCAAGTCCAGAAGTTGGTTCGTCAAGAATCAGCACTTTAGGCTCATGTATCACCTCCACACCAATGGACACGCGCCGTCTCTCTCCTCCGGAAATCCCCCGGACCTTGTTGTCCCCTACTCGCGCTCCAGCTACACGACTCAAGCCCAGTTCCTGAATCAACGATTTCACCCTTGATCTTAATTCCTCCCCCGGGAGCCTTAACCGCAGTTTTGCGCTAAATGTCAAGGTTTCTTCAACAGTAAGGAGTGGAAATAGTGTATCCTTCTGAGTAACATATCCAGAAATCTTCTTGAACCGGGCTTTATCAAGTGGCTTCTGATTGACATGAATGTATGCAGATTGCGGTGTAACTTTTCCGGCAAGGATTTCGAGCAATGAGGACTTTCCAGCACCACTTGGACCAACAATGGCAAGAATTTCCCATGGTTTGGCTCTTAGATTAACATCTTTGAGCACAACTTTAGGTACGTTTTCTTGCTGTTTTCTTGTGCTAAAAATCTCTTTTTTGTGTGCATGGATCGTGTAATTTATCCCTATTGCTTCAATTTCACAACCTTTTTTCTTCATTGAAGAAACTAAAAGAACCCTCTGCTATTGCCTCTTAAGCTACTAGCGCAACATGTACTGCTCAAAATTAAACTACTCTTTCTATTTTATTAATTCAAAAGATTCAAGGCCTCTGGAAAATTACTGGATGGAATTGATCAAATAATGACATTTGACTCCTTGAATTTGTTTGATAGTTCACGTGCAGTTTGTACTTGCATATATCTATTTTTGTGTCATGGACATCGACAAATATAGTGACATCACACATGCCATTTTTCATGTCTCCCTTGTCTGTCTCTGTTATCTCGCCACTGAAACCAATTCATTTTGTCTTTTTGTTGTCAACTTGTATATCATTTTCAAATAGTCTTACATTTTTCTCTTGGTTAAAAGTAGTAGGTGTTAAATGGGGGTGAGTCAAACCTTGCTTACTGCTAGCTCGGCTCGCTTGTAGGATGAGCTAAGCACGAACTAAGTTGCTCAACTGAAGTGTGGCTCTCCCCACCTTGAGCCAATGAACAGCTCGCATAGGAAAATCGTTGCTCGACTCGTTAGTGGGAGGGGCAGAGATGGGAAGCAGCTCACCCAAGTTAAGATCCTCGCTAAAAATCAAGAAATTATTACAAAATCAGGCATATTCGGATAATGTCTAGCAACATAATTCAAACCTCGCACTTGTGCTTGGTTATATTCTCTCACTCAACATGTTAAACTGAATAGTACTAGATAATATATAAAGAAGTACTCTTTCTATACCAAAATTGAATGCATGAACGAGTTGGTTAGAACATCGTGGTAAATGGACTTCAATTTTTTCCTATTCCATATACTTCTTCGAATTTCTAATCTGGAAACTTATAGCTTTCAAATGTAAGTAGAAGCAAATAAATAAGCTTAACTATCAAAATAAATGATTTAGTTGAAGCCCTGTGTTTATTTGACCCCTATTTGGTTTAGCTATAGAAGTCAAGAATTAATTTTAGCCACATATTTTATGAATTTACAACTTTTCAACTACACATTCTAACAACTTTATCATTATTTATTTATTTATTTATTTTTTAATCTCAACCAAATGCATTGATCAAAGCCCGTGACATAGTTCCTTTTCATAGAAGAAAGTTACAAGGGACCCTACACTCTCATCTGAAGCAGCCCGTGAACCTATTTTTGTGTTCCAAATTGTTCCGCTACGTGTTAGAATTAGTAGTATACCATTATTTTTATTAAAGAAATAACTAAAACTCCTCAGAGCCACTAATAAAATTAATATAAACTTTAGGCCAAGGAAAGTGTGATTAAAGTAGTTGGGCCCAAGTGAGAAAAACTAAATATTCAAATAGTTGTATATGGTCTTCGGCCATCTCCAATCTTGCATCAAAATGTGCACAATTTTTCACCAAATTTTGTATCAAATTAAAATTCATCTCCAACCATTACACCAAAATTTACACCAAATAAATAGTATTTTATTATTTTATTTATTCTTTCGATTTTTGAGAATATATTATCTAAAAATTTTATTTATTTATTTAATAACTATATAAATTACTAAGCTATATTAACAAATATATTGAATTATTATTGATTACTAAATTATTCACATGTTTTATTTATTATATTAAATTGACAAAAATAATTGATTATATTATTAATTTTTTATTAATAATAATAATAATAATAATAATAATAATAATAATAATAATAATAATAATAATAATAATGACACAAATATCCTTAATCATTATCTTTGAAAATGAAAGAGAAGGACAAAATGAATATTCTACCATTTATGCAAAAAATGGTGCAACAATTGGAGGGACATTTGCACCAAATTTTGGTGCAAAAGGATGTCCATTGGAGATGCCTTTATATATTGGTTGAAGAAGTTGTAAATAATTATTGATGGCTGCACATTTAAGTAAGAGCACCTCCCAAAAATTTACATTTTAATTTAAAAGTGACACACAGTATAATTAAATGCATTTCAATTTTCAATATAGAAAAATAATAAAATAATATAAAGAAAAACTAGTTAAAATAAAAAAATAGAGGAAAATAATAAATATTTTTCAAGAGTAGGAAAATTAAGTGTTAAAATATAAAGAGTTTATTTCTAATCTTTTAAAATTTTAATTCTCTAAATTTATAGACACTCTCTAAATGATAGAATATGTTCTTTTAAAATAAAAAGTCACCTTTGATTGCATATTTTTCCATAAAAAATGTCATTTTATCAACATTTCTTCTTTTATGTTGTTTTATTGATTTTTTTTTCATAGAAAATATTTTCACACTTTTGGTAACGCAACTATATTTTTCTTGAAAACAAAGAAAATATTTTCTTTAAAGAGAATAAATTTTTGTTTTCTAAGTAATTCACTCCCTTTCTTTCTCATCTATCCTTATTTCTTCTATCTACTTACTAATAAAAAATGAACAATTAGAACATTTTCAAGGTTGAAAATAAAATTAATTAAACACATTTAATCGACAATTTTCATGTAAATAATTTATAGACAATTCAATTGCCTAAAATTTAATTTTTTCATGTCAATTTTATGCTTAAAAAATCAAACACACCTTTAAAGTTTAAAAGAAATGTCCATTCCAATGGTTTTACCAACATGTAATTTTTAAATTTTTTAATGAATTGTCTGTCATTTATTTTTTCATGCAAATTTTATGCTTGTAATCAAACATACCTTTAAAATTTAAAAGGAATTTCCATTCTACTGGTTTTACAAACATGTAATTTTCAAATATTTTATTTCATATACTTTTAATAAACTTAATTTATTGTAATTTAGGGACGAAACTTTCACCGCTAAATAAAGTAATAAAAAATATATACGTAATAGATGAAAAAGTTCGCATTAACAAATAAAAACAGAAAATTTTCATCGGTGGCGTTATAAAACATATATTAATAAATTTAATTTATCGACAAAGTTTCCATAGTTATTTAAAGTAAAAAAAAAAAAAAAAAAAAAACGCAAAAAAAAAAAAAACAAAAATAGACAAAATTTAAGCAGCCCATGAATCTAGTTAGCCCATATTTAAAGCTCATTCTTTAAAGAATTCATTTTTTTCTTTCAAATTCCTTCCGTAACCAAACATTCTTCGAATAAAATAATCTTTTACACATAAACTCACAACTTTTTCTACTTTTTAACTACGTAATCTCCAAAAAATCACCATTATAATTTTATTTTATTATTATTATTCTTTAAAGAGAGCCTCAAACAAACTCTTTTATGTGTATACATTGCAGCCATTAAAATCGTACCACATTAGGATTCGGAATGGTTAGAGAGAAACAAAGCGGACTCGAATGTCGATGTATCATAATTTAAATAGTTTGGAGTCTGAAGTGTTATGATTTATATGACCAATTCTATTACGTGTACAAATAAGATCGTCCTATCGTAACCTTCTCCAATATTGAACTCCAAATTTATCCCAATCCAACCTATAAATTGATCCCGCGTTTTCAATTTCAAAAGATCCCATTATTAACTACTCTTAAGAGTTGGACACTTTGAATGAATTAGAGCCAACTTAATTGTGCTCGTTTTTTAAAGAGTTATGTGTGAACTTACTTACTAGTATCCAATTTATAGAGATGCAATCTAATTATGTTGATATTTAAAACATGTGGACATAACATGCTTGATAGTACCCAATTCATATGGACATAGAGTAACACAACTTGGTTACTGATAAATCATAAATACTAGGATTTAGGCATTTAGCTTATCGATAACAATTAGACCATGGAGCTCCGAATTTTCTCCTCTCCTTCTTCTGCTGGTAATCTCTCTTTCCGATTATAAATTTGTGTGTCTTCTGTGGTTGGAAAAACTGTAGTATTATGATTATCCATCGAGGTAATTATTTAGCATTTTTTCTTGGAATTCGCGGTATTGTGTTCTCGATTACTTCAAGCAAAACCAGTTATTCCATTGATTCAAGGATAAATTTTGCTAATTTAAATATTATTTTATTTTATTTTATTTATGATATCCATTATTATTATTCTTATATTTTTTAAATTTGTTGTTGACTGAGAAACTCGAAGAGGAAAAGAATTATAGATACTTTGAAGTTCAAAATAATTTGTTCATTAGGCTGAATTGAACCTAATATTAAGAAACTAGATGATGATAATTCTATAAGAGTTTAGATGGGTTGAAAGAAGCTTACTTAAAGATTGTATCTATGTATCAATTACGACGTCTGATCATTTTAGTGAATTTATATGAAGAAGTTAATAGACTGCTTCGTCAGACATATAAGACTCTAAAGCTTAGTCATTGGCCTGTAATTTGAAACTCAAAAACTAAGTGTGTAGTGTTATATTTCCAGTAACATTGTCCTGTATCCAATTGGCAGCAGACCAGTTATTCCATTGATTCAAGGATAAATTTTGCTAATTTAAATATTATTTTATTTTATTTTATTTATGATATCCATTATTATTATTCTTATATTTTTTAAATTTGTTGTTGACTGAGAAACTCGAAGAGGAAAAGAATTATAGATACTTTGAAGTTCAAAATAATTTGTTCATTAGGCTGAATTGAACCTAATATTAAGAAACTAGATGATGATAATTCTATAAGAGTTTAGATGGGTTGAAAGAAGCTTACTTAAAGATTGTATCTATGTATCAATTACGACGTCTGATCATTTTAGTGAATTTATATGAAGAAGTTAATAGACTGCTTCGTCAGACATATAAGACTCTAAAGCTTAGTCATTGGCCTGTAATTTGAAACTCAAAAACTAAGTGTGTAGTGTTATATTTCCAGTAACATTGTCCTGTATCCAATTGGCAGCAGGTGCATTTTTTCAGGTCAGGCATCACATATACTGGTGGGAGAAGAAGTATCATAAGTTTGAATCTAATGTGAACAACAGATTTCTCAAGAAGAATGTGAAATTAGAGAAGGCATACTCCTCACAGAAAGGTAGAGGTTCCATTTATTGTTTGAATGATCCAGAGAACAATCCTTGTGGACCTTCCGAGACTCAACTACTCAATGCCAAAGTGATTTATTCTGTTGCTCCTGCCATGGGCCATAACAAGGTATGATTTCTGTGGTTTGTACTTTCATACACATATGGATCCTGTCTATTTGACATTTTTACATTCTAGTATGTTTTTCTCTAATTTTACAATTG